AACAAGTTGGGCCATCGACGATACAATGAATCCGTTGCAGGGACCATTACTTCGGATAGGTGCCTTGTTGCTATTGCTCACCATACTGTCAAACACGTTTGGATTCGAAAGCTCTACACATTTTTACAACAAGAGGATCACACAGAGAACAGCAGCAAGACCCACCACCATTCTTTTATCGGCCACCAACACAACGAATCTCGGCAGCCAAGACRACAACAACATTGCCATCATGCAGGACTCCGATCCCCAGTTTTCCGATACGACGAACGAGGCGGATCTCGTCAAAGSCCTCGAGGAAGGAACCACCCTGAACGCKACCGAAAACGTGTGCACCGTCGACGAGCACAACCAGACCACCCCCAACGGACATTCGAGAGCCCAAATGCGCCTGAACCGAATGTGGCACCGGGCGACCTACATTGTGATTCGCCACGACCACAGCGCCGGGGGCGACGGGGCTTCCTCTTCTTCCCCGGACGAAAACATGGACGACCAGTTTCTTCTGGTRCAACGAAGGACCAAGATCAAAGACTACTGCCCCGGGAAGCTCGATCCGACCCCCGGGGGTGTGGTTGGATTTGGAGAATCTTACTTGCTCAACGCGACAAGAGAAATGATGGAGGAAATGAACATCGATCTTTCGGAAGGTTCCGGCAACGAGATGAACGAGCTCTTTCGCTTTCCATACGAAGACGACAAGGTGCGGGTGTGGGGTGGAATGTTCGAAGTGATCTATCGCAAACCCCTGGAGGAGATCAAGATGCAACCGGAAGAAGTCGACGAAGTCCTCCGTCTTTCCATAAGGGAAATTCGAACCATGGCCGTGGAGGATCCTGGCGACTGGATGCMGGACGGGTTGCACGCGATTCGGTTGTACCTTCAGTACCGGCGCGACCATTCCCTCAAGCGAAGGTTGCTGAAGGGGTACAGCAACGGGGACCTKGAAAGATACCGGCTGCGGCCAAAACCCTCTGTCATCTTTTTCGACTGCGACGACTGCTTGTACTTTGACGGGTGGCAGCTGGCCTCTAAACTCACCGCGAAGATCGAGGAATGGTGCACCTCCAAAAAGAATCTGCCCGAGGGGGAGGCCTACGAGCTCTACAAAAAACACGGAACGGCCCTCAAGGGGCTGCTGATGGAGGGACACATGGAAGACTGCGAGAAGGAAATCGACGAGTACCTGARGGACGTCCACGACGTTCCGGTCGCCGAGCACCTGACGATCGACAACGAGCTTCGGGACATGATCCTGAAGATCGATCCCTCCATCCCCAAATACATTTTCACGGCGAGTGTCCGGGACCACGCCGAGCGCTGCCTCCGCGCCCTCGGCATCGAGGACCTCTTTGTCGACATTATCGACGTGAAGAGCTGCAACCTCGCCACGAAGCATTCCGAGGAGGCCTTYGAGGCGGCGCTGAAAATTGCGAACGTAGAAGATCCGGAAACGGTGCTCTTTCTCGACGATTCCGTCAAGAACATCAGGGTCGCCCGGTCCATGGGCATCCGGTCGTTTCTGGTGGGTCGGGTGGGCCGGGACTGCGGCCAGCCCATTACCACCGAGCACGCCGAGYACGAGATCGATCGCATCCACGATTTCCCWAAGGTCGTGCCAGAAATCTTTGAACGGTAACAATTTTCCGTGCCGATCCGACCCGAATGCCGGGCCGCAGACCAAATCGGCGATTGCTACCGGCGTCTCAATCAACCTTGACTCATTGTAAAAATTCTGACTGCACTTTTTGCTTTGGAAGAAAGTGATCKTTATTCACCGAGTTTTACTCAAACTTGTTGAACTCGTGGCCTGTGCAGTTTAGCTGCGTCTAGGATCCTTTGCAGGGCAACGTGTAAGAATGCCAAAACAGAGGAGAAGAGAAGAAATGGAATATTTACACAACGACAACAATTGTAAAGCGGTCATTGCGATTCGTATTACTTCAAAACTAGTAGCCTTCCAAACCAAACCAAAACAAGTATGCAGTCGCCACCCTCGTCATAGTAGTGCTTCTATAGACGCCTTGAACTTTTAGGACAGTGGGACTCTACGCCTAAATTGTAAAAAGATTATCCATATGGCAATTGGATCGTCCGTGAAAACAAACCAATTTCGACAGCGTAAATATTTGCTAGAGTCATTCGGATCATTGCCAGAAGCAGGCACGAGAGCCTTTTATATTCTCTTATGTCATATGCTCAAGCATTCTCGGCCAAGAACTCTTTCAATTTTGAAATCGCGATTCCCAATTCTTCCATGCTTGTTGCATAGCTCAGCCGAACCGTTCCGGGAGCCCCAAAGCTTGATCCGGGAACAATGGCCATCTTTTTGGCTTTCAGGAGTTCCAGACAAAGCTTTGTGTCGTCTCCACCAAAATACCTCGATACATCCGGTAGGACGTAAAAGGCTCCGTTCGGTGGTATCGCAACCTCGACCCCGGGAATTTTCGACAGCTCCCCGAGCACGTAGTCGCGTTTCTCTCGCATGATTTCTACGTTCGCCTGCATCTCCTCTTCGCTGACCTGGGTCAGGGCTGCGACCCCCGCCGCTTGTGACAGCGAACCCGCGCAGGACGTCAGCTGAGACTGGATGGTAGTGATTGCTTTCGCCAGGGGCTGTGGAGCCGCAACGTATCCGAGCCTCATGCCCGTCATAGCGTGGGATTTGCTAAATCCGTTGACCGTCATGGTACGAGAGAACATTCCATCGACTCCGGCAAAGGCGGGGCAATCTCCTTCGTAGACGAGGCGTTCGTAGATTTCGTCGGCCAGGACCATAACCTTGGGGTAGTCCTTCAGCACAGCGGCAAGYGCTTCCAATTTTTCGAGCTGGTAGACTCCTCCGGTGGGATTCGAGGGATTGCAAAGAATGATCAGCTTGATTTCGGGGTGTTCCTCTAGTGTCGAGCGGAGAGTCTCCGGGGTAATCAAATAACCGTTTTCGGCTTTTGCTTCGACAATAACCGGCGTCGCTCCCACCAGRGAAACCATTTCGGGGTAGGATGGCCAGTAAGGGGCAGGAACGATCACCTTGTCCCCCGCACCGCAGGTGGCAAGGACCCCCTGAAAGACGCACTGCTTGGCACCGTTGCCCACCACGATTTCGTTCGCGGGGTTGTAGTCGACACCCTTTCGTGTTCTCAGGTCTTCGGCAATCGCGTTTCTCAGATCGGCCGTTCCCGTCACGGCGGTGTACTTTGTGGCACCCGATTGGAGGGCGGCCGCGGTAGCGTCCAGCACCGCCTTGGGAGGTAAAAAGTCCGGTTCTCCCACGCACAGGGACGTCACGGTTTCTCCCGCAGCCTCCATCTCTTTGACCAATGAAAAAATCTCGACCGTTTTGCTGGGCTTGACAGAGGCCACGATTGGGTTCAAAAAGTCGGTACTGGTTTCCGTCGACATCTTCAGAGAAGAGAATTTTGCGGTAGCGATGTCCACCGTCTTTGATGCAAAGGACACCGCAGACTGGGGAGAWTGTAGCAAAACGAGGCAACAGGTTGCTACTGTCAGCTTTTTGGAGCCTAACRCTGGCATTTTCTCTGACAACAGATGGTTTCTTAAGTCCCTTGGACGAATTGTATCGATTGTATTATTGTGTTGGACGCCACTTGAGTAACAAAGTTTTGATGGAGAAAGAACGCGCTCTTCGGTAACAGTCGTAATGTTTGGAAATCCGATAGTAGAAAACGAAGGTCTCAAAGCAAACGTACGTACTACTCGTAGAAAATCGTACTTCAAATATTACTCTACCGTTCTTGTTAGGTAGTACACTAAGTCGTACAGTACAAAGTTCGTACGGTACCAGGTACGAACTTCTTCACGTTCATTTTGGATTTAGTTCGATGCTTGATTTTTGATTTTGAGATCGGCTCTCTGACGACAGAAGTTTTTAACTTACACGTGGAAGTAACCCAWAGTATTGGTTGAATCAGATGAGTCGAGTCCCACGAAAATCGAAATCATGCCAAATTAGAATTAGATCTGAAGACAACAGATCAACCCTCTCAAAATACAAAATACATCCAGAATAAGCGATTCCAAATGCAGCAACATATTCTTTGGAAACGGGTGGAAGATTAGCTACAGCACCAATCCTACCCTACCATATATTCAGTAATATCCTGTCGTCAAATTCCAAGGCTCCGTTGCAAGACTGGGGTGAAAGTTCAGCGCTCGGGTGCTAAAAGACTTTGTTCGTTTCAAGAAAGTGCTTGCGTGTAGTTTGAATGATACTAAAGAAATGACCAGAGTAGAAAGCATCGAACAGCTCACGGCGGAGGCCTTTTCAGAWATTCTAAAGGAAAACTGGTCGGAGGCGGTTCCAAAGATCGGTTACCTTTCCGCTGCAAAAGTGGACCAAGGTGTGTTATCGGACGTATACCGTGTGCATCTCGATTACGCAACTTGTGGCAAGCCAGAAAATAATCGCAAGAAGGATGCCTCGTCATCGATTGCCAAAGCGACGCCCCGAGATGCCCTCCGGTCGACGGAATCCATGCCTCCTGCGGACTGGTTGGTCAAGTTTTGTCGCTCCGATCTCGATTTGTCGTGGATGATACGAAACGAAACGATCTTCTACAGTCGAATCGTTCCGGAAATCTTGGCGCCGGCTAGCAACTCTAGCGGCGGTAACGGTCAATTGTCATTGTCCCSGAYAAGTCTRCCATTTGCTATTCCGACAYTTCTGAGCGGGTCCGATCGTCACCTTATTATTCAAGAAATAACCAACGTAAAAACATATCCATTGACAGAGGGCTGTCCGCCAGACAAAATCGACTTTCTTCTGAAATCCCTGGCCGCATGGCACGCAGCCTGCTGGGAATCAACCCCAGTACTGAAACAGTTGGATCTAGGCAATCCTGCGGAAATTCACGCTGAAGGGGAAAGACTGGTCTTTCCAGCAGGAATGGGACAACGCCTGCCCCCTTTGCAGAAAGAAGGACTGTTCATCTCGTCGTGGGAAGAAACTGTTGATCACATGATACAGGARGACGGGCAGCGCGAGGAGAAGCTACTGGATACGGAGCTGATGGATTACATTACAAAGCTATGCCAAAAACTGTGCACCCTTAGGCTTCGWGACATCCACGAAAAGGTTCACAATCATCTAGTGACATGTGTGCACGGTGACTATCACATTTCGAATTGGCTCTTTCCGACGAACGAAGATCAAGATAAAAAGCCAGTTCTAGTAGACTWTGCAACGGCAGGATACGGCAATCCACTGGTGGACTTGGTGTTTTTCATCGTCGTGAGCACAAACGATGAGGTGGTTTCAAACTCCCAGCTGTGTCTAGAAAAATATTACCAAYTTTTGATCGAATGCGATCCGARTCTGTCACCGAAAGTCTCATTGGCGACCCTGCAGGAATGGTTTCCATGGGCAATTCTTTGCCAATTCATGATCCTAGTGGCATATGACGGCATCTGTCGAAACATTGCCAAGGCCGAACCRGACGAGCAAAAACGAGAAAACCAAACCAGGCATTTCTGTAATGTGAATCGAAGAATGATATTGGCCATACGAAGCATCGAAAATTGGGACGCAATCCTGTCTGAACTCGGAACGACTTCAGGTGAAGATCGAAAAGAGGCCCAAAAGTTTTGTGAAACTACAGCATTGACAATATGAAAAGGACAAATACATAGATTCACAATTTTCTAGCAAAATRGATGGATGCGATAGACATACGAAACGCATGGTAAAATATTAATGAAGGCAATAGCAATGAATGAAACCCAGATTTCAAAACTATTCCACATTTTCAACTTGAACCTTTCAACAATTACAAATTGAGCTATCTCAACTATTTTTCTATGGTTMCCAMCACTTCACAAYAGAAAATCCTGGGGGATCGTYAATGTCGAGTGACTTTAGAAGCCTTTTCGCATCCATCGACAGATCATAATACCTGAAAGTCCGATCAGGATCTCTGAATTCAAAAAGTTCTTCGTCTATACCATCCACCTTGCACGCAATCAACGGGTAAGCAAAAACTGGACTGAYGACTTGCGGGATGTATGCRCTTCTAGACGGAACGTCACTAAAGTTTATTCCTTGTGTTTCACCAACTGCTTTGTAACTGCTTCCGGTCAATTGTTTGTACTTGCGGTACCACCTCACACAATGCTTCATRAAAATGGCAACCAGAACGGCAAAAGCAGACCACCCACAGTATGWTGTGGAAACGATCTGATCACGAGTCATRTATTCGCGTGGCTGGATATGGGGGTTTCCCATCGATGGAACGAATGGAAAACTAAAGTAGGGTGCAGTATCTAGAAAGTCCATGTTGCAGTATCTGTATTCAGTAGCGTCCTCGAAGATGGTGATGTTTTCCTCAACAAATTTGTTGGTATAATTCAGATGTGCCTTCAAAGTAAAGTTKCCCACATACGAAGCGTTGACAGGTTTGTCATTCGGACAGAGATTATCAAATGGAAATCCAGCCCAGTAATAGCTGCACCAAATCGCCATCATGCAGATTGCAAAGCCAAAAAAATAAATACGGCTGATCTTCGAAATCTCCGGTCCTATATGTGGGGCCCTCTTCCATGTGTTCATCAAATTGAACCGGTCGCAATAGTACTTCAAGGTTAGACTGATTGCACACAGGAAAAAGGAGGAAGGGAATATCGAGCAGTAAAACAAACACAACAGCAAAATCTTGGTCATGTCCGTGTAACGCTCTGCTAGTTCATATGGAGTTCCTTGGAATAAGATATCCATAGCATCCTGGGTTTTCGCTCTTGGAGCCAAAAGATGACGCTGCAGGTGTCCCGCCTAGACCAGAGAGGAAAATTGAGAAGGTGCGGTAAAGTTAGAAACACGAGATACGTTACAGAGACTCAGATAAATCGAATGCATTCGAAACCTACTGGATCTAACACCGCAACTGCATTAGTCAAGGTCATATCAGAGATGAAAAGAGYAAATACTTGKGCGATAATACCTTCGCTTCCGTCACGAATTGTATCCGCGAATGGAGTGACCAGAAAAATTACAATCGCAGTAGTGACCCATCTGAATAGAGCAATTTTGAAATAGAGCGACSCTTGCTTCGAACTTTCCGAGCGGTGGACTTCAATATTGTTTGTCATGAGTTTTGCAAACATAGGAAAGATCATACCGAAGAAAGTAATTCTATATGTTTAAACGCCGCAGGTGCGCATCGAATGCCAAGACAAAAGTCGTGCAACAAGAGTGAGAATTTGCAGAACAACAGCCATATTCAAATTGAGTTCTCGTTTGAAATACTTCAGTTTCCACTTACGAATAAGCGCACCATAAGACGTTCACTTGGTTTGTTAGGTAAATAGCAATTGCGACAACAAATACTGCCCCCAAAGTAATTAATGTCGTAACTGTCAACAATTTGAGTTGTTTTAAATGCCCAACATTCAAGTCCTCCCATCGGATGGTATTCGGTTCCTCAGGTTCTGTCACACTTAGAACACGGTCATTTCTGAACAGGTGCTTCGGACTTTTGAGTGCGCTGGCGTTACCGCCTTTGCCTACCGTACCCCAGGCCGAAGATCCGACAGACAAGTTTTCAAGAACGTATCGTTGATCTTCCTCAGTCTCAAATGTTACAAAAACATTAGTGACAGGGTATTCCAACTGTGCTAGACCCTCTACCCTAGCCTTCAGAGCAACAAGCCGAGAGAAGTGCTCGGGTATCCCCGGTGCAAGCTTAGAAAGGAAACGACCAAAGATCCCTCTACCCCGTTCAATTTCAGCTGACGTGCGAGCWAGATCAAGTGCATCCAAACTAATTTCAGGATTTATACTCTGGATAGATCGGATGCGTTCCCGTCGTTCAACAAGACTTTGGATCAACAAATCATTGCGAACAGCACAGGTGCATACCGTAACTTTTGCACCATCGAGGTTGTCGTGGAAGAATCTACGCCACTCTTCTGGATCTTTGGCATCACTTGGAGGATTAGAAATCAAAACAGAATAATCCTGAGCTGTTTGCTCGTCTTCATCAAACATAACTTCTTCGTTTTTCATATAACGTCCCATCAACATGAAAGCAAACACTGTAAAAACAACGGTCACGAAATTAGTGGTTGCGAGTTGCCACGGAGTACCATCACAGTTGTTCTTCATAACAAAAGTCATATTGGCTCCGCTGCTCGATGAGGCAGCGGCGCAACGGTTTGATCCAAGAGCTCCCCACTCATCAACTGGAAGTGCAATGCAAGTACAATTAGGGCAAGGGACCCATTCCACTGCATGACACACGGCACTWCCAGCCATAAAAAAGTTTGAAAAGGATGTATCCGCAGGAACATTGTTGAATCCCTCGTGGTCATACTTCTCACYGGCAAAATATATGATGTTGTACATCGAAATCAGTCCGCAAGTCAAACACAGAAAGATGAGAGCACGCAGCGTGGAGAAATAGAGGCCAATTCCAAGACCGAAATCTCCCAGCTGTTTGTGAGGAAGAGAGAACCACGGATAAAGACGAGTAGGTACCAAGTCTTCACCCGGATCTGCCCTGTTGTATTTTCGGGAAGAATTTGGACACAACGAATTCGAAGATGGATCGTTCTTGTCTACCAAATACCGGAATAGCGCTTGGTGTTCAAAAAATTCCCATCCCCTTTTGAGACACGGCTTCTGGGGTGTGGTATGCTCATCAAAGTCATCAAGGGGGGCAGAATCCTCTTCTTCTTCGTCGGTGCTATCGCCTTCTTTTTCATTTGGGTCGCGAGTCCCTGGATAATACCACTTGTATTTCATTAATCTCAGTGCGATGCGACGTCCGTATGTCATATCCTTTACGTCGTCGTTCATGAAATCAATAATCTGGCCAGGATCATCTTCGCCTTCATAACTCCTTTGGTCATGACTTGCGCTATCATCGTCAYAATGATAGAAACTTTCGTCACACTTGTGACTCTCGACGACCGCAACATCATTCAATCCCTTTGAGTTATAATTTGTAGCAAGAGTTCCTGTCATCATAGACTTCGGGTTCGATTGAACCGAGTCCGATGATTTCTCATTGCTCTTGCCTTTCGAAGACAGAAAACCCATCATGTATTCGTCAGGATTTTTCCCGAGTGTATCAGTCCAAAATTGCAAMGCTGCTTTTTATGCGTATTGCCAATGCTGGTCTTGATCTCGTCATTGATCTTTTGTTTCAGATTGAGATGTCGTGGGAATCTAAAGGGTCCCTCAAAACGATTTCGGCATGCAAGACTAAGATTCGTTTCCGAGGTGCACACTTCTGCACTAAAGAAATAATGACAACAATATCTATCCTACCGGCCGGTACAACCGAATCTCGAATCCTACTGTTCTAGAACGACAGATGGAGGGACGCATGTCTCTGTTCAATACTGCACCGGGCGTGATTATTTTTTAAATTGAGATCCTCTATGTAGAAGTCCGGCACGCGTGGAGATCTATCTTTGTCATGCCTTTTACTTACTACGGTACGATACTGTACTATTCTACTTCGTTTGGAATACGTACTAACACTACATACGTACCATAGGAATGAGATATACGGTACTTATGACTCATTCACGAATAGAAAAACTCGCCTAAAAAAAATTCTCGTCATTACTTGTACCATACGTACGTACTTCTACTTTATTGGTCAAGTGACCAAAGCATACGTATGTACCGTACGTACACTTTCTTCTGCATCAAGTACGGTACTGTAGGTACTACTTCGTACGTATCGTACTCTGAACGGAAGAAAGCTCGTTGGAAAAAGTGTACGTACCTGCATTGTATCAGTGATGTGTACATTACCACCTACGCTCTGTACCTCTCATATCTAAATGTCAAACATCAAACATCACATTCCTCTTTTCATACCTGTACTTATTTTGTAGCAATTGCTTCTAGTCGATGTGGTTCAAAAAAATCTTTGAGCGACTGCCTAAGATGCATGATGGAATACCTCATAAGAAGTAGAATCATATACGGTTGGTTTGCAATATTTTGTGTCGTAGTGCCTTTTCCCTCGTTCTCCCTCCAACAAACGAAACATAGGATTCGAACGACGAGAAAACATCATGATCGGTTCGCTGATTGGGCAAGAAGTAACCAACGAGGGCTACAAAACAATAATGACAAGATTAACCCCTTGCTCCTATGGATTGATGGTAACAATGTTCGGGGAATCGGAAAATTCGAATGGAATGCAGTGGAACTTCAGCACAGAGTGGTCCGTTTTTGTCACAAATACAGAGTGCCGAACGCAATAGTTGTGTGGGATCACGGTAGCCACCAGCTTTCGTGCTCAAAACAGTATCATTTCAACGATTCGGGAAAGGAAATCGCCAGTTCCGAGGCTGATGTACCTTATAGCAAAGATGACAAGTCGTTTTGCGTCAACCTAATCACCCTTTTTTCGGGCATTAGGCAACGAGCAGACGATGTCCTCGTGAAGGAATCAAATCACCTGGTTTCACTGTCCTTTCGAACCAACGTCGAATCTGACTACAACACAAAATTGAATTGGTCTTCGAATGCATTTGTTACAAACGATACCGAATTGAACTACAAATTACGGCGACAAGCTGTTCCGAACTCACCTTCGATACGTCTGAGTAGACGGAGACGAAGGGACGCTGGCAAGATATACAATTCTGATAGCAGCAGCAACAACGAGGTGAAGGATACTTCAAATCCACTCTTTTGTGATTCGACGGGATTTGTTGACCTGCTATGCGAAATCTCAAGGGAGTACGACATGGCAATGAACGACGTCGACCAGGAAGCCTCGATGTTGATTGAAAAAGCAAAGGATTCTCTTCGCGAATGTTCCAAAGGCCAACGCCGTGGTTACAACCCCCGCAGGGAGAAAACATGGGAACGCTGCGTACAGGCTGAAACATTGCGCCGGTTTATTATTGACCAGGAAGAAAGAGTCACCAAAGAAAAAGTAAATGAAACATCGCCGTCAGATACGAATGATGCGGTCTTCGTTGCTAATTACCTGAATGAATTGCAAACCAAACGGGGATATATCAGTCCGTTGCATGAAGAAAACAGAGAAGATAGTTACGAAACATTTCTGCCCTTTCTAGCACCCTCTCGTCTTGACAAACGACAGCGGCGCCTGTTGGATCGCTACAACGCACTCGTCAAAAACGGAGAAATAACGTCGTAAAGTGCACGAATAGCACCCCGAGGCCAAGAAAGAAAGCAATTATCACATCACAGACCACGAGCCTAGATATTACATCATAGCCTCTCAAAACTAGTATTGTTTATTTTTGATGATTATTGCATTGAAAAAGCCATTTATTCTATTCTAAGTCTAATAGTAGCTTCGATGGATTCGATAACTTCTTTTTTCCTGTCACTCAGTTCTTATTTCGACCGTTCGTTTCCCTTTATTTCCCTTTATGCACTCCCCAGACGGGACGTTTACCTATCTCGCCATTACGATGAGTCTCGGAAAAAGAGACGGAGCCATTTCTTCGTCTCGAAGACCCCTACTTCTAGCTAGCTTGGCAGCTAATTCCGAGAAAGGTCGGTAGTGTTCTTTGAGCCACTGCTCGTCAATATTTAATTTCTTCGAAGATTGCAATATCTTCGACTGCCGCTGGCGTTGAAGGATTACAAAGATGGCGGATTTCACTCGATCCAATCGATCCGACCTCTGTTGTTCCACTATGCGCTCGAGGCCCAATTCCTCGATCATTTTGTCATCGTGTTGAGTTTCGTCTGCGTAGTATGATGCTTCGTTCTGCTTCCGCTCGTAGGATTCAAGACGACGCAAGGCGTCTGCTATTTCTACGATGGTCTTCCGTTGGTCTTCACTGCTCATGTGCATGTATTTCTTTTCTTCATTCGTAGGTCTCGGGATTTCAAAGACATCGTTCTTGGATGAGAACGTCACAGTTGGTTTGCGGATGTTGTGTTTGATGCTACTGACTTGCCTTCCAGGAAAGTCTCTTATTTTCTTGCTGTCGAGTAGGTCCTCTCTCGGTCTTGTTGCACATCCTTCGTCAGAAGCAGTTTGTGCCAGAGAGTTCGTCATCAGCATCGTGGAAAATTGTTCGGACGCAGCCAACCAAGCACTCGGAAGCTTGACAATCAACTCCGGTCSCCTTGCATACAGAGGAATGGTTATATACTCGGATTCCCAAACTGATATACTGTATGAATAATCTATTATTGTCGTGTCGTGATATAAGAAAAAGTCGTGGATGTATTGTATGAGGTCTTCGTTCTATCTGGAAATCTGTTGCAACGGATGAGATCGGGTACAGGATTGACACGAATGAAAACGAGAAAAATAATTTGTGTGATGAAAACCGTTGCACTCCGTTAGAGGTTCGCAAAACTACTGTAGAGTTTAGCCTCACATTGGAATAGCGATCGGAACTCCTCTAACATGATGCTTACGTGTAGGAGTTTCGTACACCACGCTACCATAATAGGCAACTAATATTCTTATTTCTCCTACTTGTTGATTTTTACGCCATTAAAATTTTGTCGTGAGATTGGTTGTTGCCCTTCATATGTCGGGTTCTACGACGAGACCGTGCAAGGGGTGAGGCAAYTCTGATTATTATTTTGTGCTATTTCCTACGAGTACGTACGTACAATAGGGATAAGTACTATTATTTTTAGAGGTTTTGCTGATTTATTTCATTTTAACCTTAATTGCGCATAGATTACAGGACCAATGGAGGAATTGCAAGCAATACCGAATTACTGTAGAGAACAATTTTTTACGACTGACTCGTGGCATTTCACATTTTCAACAGATCGATCATGGCGCCAAAATAATGACCACGTAGGTCCGGTGAACGGAAATAATGGGTCATTACCGTTTATTAGATGGTCTACTTTTTGACAGACAGACAGACCAAAAATAGACCATCGAGTCTGAATTTTTAGACTTTATGTCAACGCACAATTCACAATGAAAATCTAATCCAAGAATGAAAATCTTATTGCACTTCGTACTCAAAAAGCAGGCACCCTCTTTCAGTCTGAAGTTGATTCCAAATTCCCTTTAGACTTAGAAGAACAATGTTGTTGAGACCCTGTTTTTAATGATTTCTGTTGAACTAAAGAGTCTAAAGTAGACCATTTAGACTTTTATACCATCTAGATTAACAGGAATGACCCAATAGTGGGTGATTCCCGAGAGTCTAAGAAACAATCTACTTTTTTGGTCTGTCAGTCTGTCAGAAATAGATTTGAAGTATTTACATTAAGTTTTTAGACTGTTTTGAAAACACCTCAGACCCACTCACAGCAGACAATGCAAATCTAGAGTAGACCCCATGATGAATAGAATTATTTTTAGTTGCACACAACTGACAATGAAGTATCTCTAGTACTACTAGCTACTACTACTGTTTTCTGTCAATGAACATCACAAGAGGAGTCATGGTGCTGGTRTTGAGGAGAGGACAAAGTTTATTCATTATGTTTCTGCTGGCTGTGTCTACACATTGTGATCCTKCCTGTGCATGATTCTTATCYATGACGATGGAGTTTGAAAACTKGAGATTTTCCTGTCACTTTTGGGTTCCTACATGGGGTAGTTGGCTCTTCCTGGCTTGAAAGAAATGATAAACTTCCCGCGTGGCGAGAGAATTATTGCAAATTACGTAAACGGTACGACAATGCTATAGATCATACGTTCATTCTACATTTTGGGAAGAGGTGGTGTGTGCACTTCTTTCAACAATTACTTTTCTGGACCTAATTTCATTGTTTAGCAGCTATCTCACGACATGACACAGGCCGAAAAAGTGCTCGTTGGTTCAGTTCATCAATCAAACTTGCTCCGGCATTTGCGGCCATTTTCGTTTTTTCCCATCTTGTATACAAAAGCTTACGAAAGTTATGCGGATGTACACCAGCCCTACCTATTCCTCCATTTTTGCATCKGAGGAAGCGACGCCGTACAATTGAACTGCGCGTTCGTTGCCAAAGGACACTTCCAACAMACTACTCGAATTGCTGTCGCTCCACACGATTCCGGACACGGGATTCTTTGTTTCGAAACATCCGGTGACCCCCCATTCTTTTACCGTTGTGATTTTGACTCCTCCTTTGCCTCCCATCGCGGCGTACTTCCCTGCCTTATCGAATGCCACGCTCTCGACCGATTTCACCGACAACTCGCCCTCGTCGCACTTGATGGACGCCGAGACCTTTTGCTTYCTCAGGTCCCAAAACCGTACARTGGACGAATCGTGCCCGGCCGCAATGTGATAACCGTTGTTGGAAAATGCAATGGTGGTGATTCCGTCCGATATTTCCCCATCCTATCGGCAAACGGGGCGCATCGTGTAGAGATTTACAAGACGAAAWATGAGTCCGAAGAAAAAGAATTACAATCGATCACATTCAAAAGTTTCGCGRTGCGGTCGCTACTCAAAAAGSACGGCAAAGCGTTATCCTAGGGCCTTCTAGAAAGGCTCGCGAAACGAAACAAATTATCCTTCCCTCCTATTTCCCAGCAGCCATGTCCTCCTACGGTACTCACCTGCAACGTCGCCGCTAGAACCTTGTTCTTGAAGTCCCACACGTGAAGCTTGCCCATTTTGGTTCCCGCCACRTATATGAGGCCGTCGGGGTGAAGGCACGCGGCCGTGTACCCCTCGCTGTCTTTGGTCCGAAAGGTTGCAATTTGCTGCAGGCGCTTCTCTTCGGCCATCCAGTACGCGACGATCAGACGCCCGTCCGCCGTGGCCGCACAAATGTGCTGGTCGGTCGGATGGACCCGAACGTCGACAACTTCCGCACCAATGTCGATGTCTGCCTTGCCACCGCCACCATCCATGGAAAAGACRGAAATTTTCCCCTTCGCGTTTCCGGCAACGACTACCGTCTTCCCGATGCCAACACAGGTAGCCACAGAACCAAAGTTAAACGTGTGTTGGACGACCTGGTCAGCCTCGTTGTAGACCACGACGTGCTTGTCCTTTCCGGCCGTCGCGGTGAGATGGTTGTCGCTGGCGATGCAGGAGATCCCGCGGTTGGTAGATTTGTGCCACGCCTTCTTGTCCAAAAAGGCACAGCTCGCAAGGTTCTGCGGAGACGGGGCCTCGGCGGCCGCAGCCTTGAGGGTTGGTTTCCGGACCTTGTTGAGCTGCGTCCATACCTCGGTCATGGCCTGCAAATCGTCCTCCGGWAGATCGTTTTCGAGCACCTCGGCGGTGGGTTCGAGAATCCTCCGCCGCTTCGCCGAGGGCTGGTCCCCGGTCGGTGGAGCGGCCACCGTGGCCTCTTCTTCCTGGGCGCTCGGGGCAGAAGCAACGGCCGTAGCTCCAGAATTTGCGTTTGCGCTCGCGTTCCATTGCTCCAGTTGCTGCTTAGCCGCGTCGCGTTCCTGGGCCACCCGAGCCACCACCCGAATGGCAGCATCGTTCTGGTAGAGGGCCTGGCTGAGCTCGCGGCGGGTCTCCTCCAGTGCCTTTCGGGTATCAAAGAGCTCCAGGACCAGGGCGTCGTACTCCTTCTGGATCAGACCCAGCATTCCCGGCAGTGATGTGGCCTGGGGACGGGGCGGCACCACCGAAGACGAGTGGACGCTCCCGCTGTTTGTGGCCTGTAGCGTGACGAGCTGGTCTTCCGATAGGGGCAGATTTTTGGCGGTTTCGAAGGGATCGACCCCACCGTTTTCKGCGAGTTTAGTCAGCAGCAGGCGCTTGATGCAGATGTGACCCGACGGTGTGACGACAACTTCGTTGCTGCCGTCGCCATTGACCGGCAGCGGCTCTCCCGAAATTTCGCACGAAAGAGACATTGTTTTCCTTTGCTAGGGTGTAGTTGTTGTGCCACGTTTCTCTCGCTTTGTGCTGCCTGGGTATTTCGAGTGTCTGATTTATGARCAGTGGTGTGGTATTGATCGCTTTGTACGCCTAGGCTTGGGTTGTCGTATTGTTGTTCTGTTTCTCTTTCCAGCACAAAACAAAGATCTGGGTCGCTTCGGATGTAATGTACCAAGAACGATGTCGGTGGGTAGGATGCAAGGCGTGTCGATGGATCTCCCATCCATCGCAAATCGCATCGGAGCTCGCGATTACTCGTACGAGTACCGTACCGTACGAAACCTGCCACAACCTTACAGCACTAGCAAAAATGTTCTGACGCTCATAACCTATTTTCTGTTTTGGGGCGAGACGAACCATCTCAGAGTATGATATTAATGTATATTACATATGATTAATGTTACTCATCCATACGTTCAGGGGTGTCATCGTTTTTGAGGTCTGCTCCAAAAAATGGCGCGGTGTGAAAAATAAAACGGTATTTTCATGCACACACGAAAGGCCAGCCGCATGCGAAGTTCGTTCAAGTACTCGTACTCGTACCCAGCATAATTGTGCGGAAAACTTCGCGCAGTGTCCGTCCTCTTCGACGCCAGAGTACGATTCTACTAAAGCAGCGTACAGGTACTTACCGTACCGTATCGTKCTACAACTCCCGTTTTCAGATTCTTCGAGTGTCATTTCTGCCGCCGAGGTCGATGCGATGGCTCGATCTCTCAAAACAGAAAGCAAAACTACAGTACTACGTTAACCTTTCAATCGTTCCTGACCTGTGAGACGAAGCACCCAAGATCGACCGACCGAAKTCCGCATCGCGTTCGTCCACAAAGCATCGAGGGCTGCACGCATTCATTTCATTCGATTGATTGATTCAAAGCACGAATCACTGCCTGACAAGAGACAAGCACAGCGAGACTGTGACCAGCAACACGAACGGCCTTCTCCGATCATCGTTTACAGAACAACCCTAGCCTTCTTGGTTTACGGCACCAGTCAGGACAACCACGAAAATCCGATAATCCGGAAACCAACTAGAAAAAAATACGTAACAAAAAGGAAGCCAGGAAGCAACCACCCAGAAACCACGGCACCATACAACAATGCACATCAAACAAATCACGATATCGAATTTCCGGTCCTTCCGCCAGCAACCGGAAATCAACCCATTTGCMGCGACCACCAATTGCGTCCTGGGGAGAAACGGAAGCGGAAAGTCGAATCTATTCGATGCCGTTCAGTTCGTCTTGTTGGCTCCACGKTTTGCAACGCTGAGATCGGTGAGTGGTGGAAGAGTGGTGGAACTGTGTACTCGTAGTGTGTTGGAAAATATTTATCACCAGATGAAAGCGCGGTGAGAGCGTTTTGCATTCATTTGCCGTTGTTTTGCGTTGTTGTACCATGTTTTATCACGCCATGTGATACCAAAAGGTATACGTAGGCCGCTTCGTTTCCAGCGGTACCCATTGCGGTGACGATCGCTTCTTCGCCCAGTCTCGTCTGTTGTATCATTGATCTTTCACCGGCTTTCCTTCTCGGAACTTGATCGAAGCGTGCTCACACATTATTCGCTTGCGCTGCTACGAACCCAACCGAACGGAATCGAACACAACACAACACAACACAACACAACACAACACAACACAACACAACACACCAGGAAGAGCGCCAGGCACTGCTGCACGAGGGATCCGGATCCGCCGCCGTCAACGCCTTTGTCGAGGTTGTCTTTGACAACTCTGACAATCGCTTTTCACTGGAACACTCCGACGAGGTCGTCCTCCGCAGAACCGTCGGCAGCAAGAAGGACGAGTTCTTCCTCCAGAGAAAACGGGCCACCAAGCAAGAAGTCCAGTCCCTGCTCGAGGGGGCYGGCTTCTCCAAGTCCAATCCGTACTTTATGGTCCAGCAGGGAAAGATCCAGAGCCTCTGCCTCATGACGGATGCCCAGCGCCTGGAGCTGCTCCAGCAGGTAGCCGGCACCACCCTCTACGAAGACAAGAAATCGGAATCCCTYGTCAAGATGCAAGAGAATTCGCAGTCCATCGAAAAGATCGACTCCATCCTCGGCGACATCGATGAACGCCTCAACGAATTGCAGAGCGAAAAGGAGGAGCTCACCATCTACCAGTCGCTGGACCGGGACCGCAAGGCCCTCGAGTATACCCTCTACGACAAGGAGCTGCGCAAGGCGCGCCTYGTTCTAGACAAYATCGAGCACAAGCGGGTGATCCACCTGAGGGATCTCACGGAACTCCACGAGCACTGCAAGAAAACACACGACGACATCCAGAACGCGGACGCCGTTCTCAAGATAAAGTCGGAGAAACTCAAGCGGAACCGGAACAACCGAGCCCTGCTGGAGCAAGACCGGCGGACCGCCTACAAGCTCAAGGAAGATCTTGTCCTGCAGTGCGCGGAACTGGAGGGCACGGTGGGGATGATCCGAGACACGGCTCAGCGCAACCAGGCCGAGCTGGAAACACTCGAGGGGGAAATCGAGTCGACGAAGGARAGACTCGAAGGAAAGAAGACGCTCCTGAAGGATGAAGAAGATTCCCTCCGAAAACTGGAACAAGAACGGGACCAGGCCWYCCGCAAGATCGAYGGTCTCTACGCCCGGCAGGGCCGGGGAAAGGAATACAACTCCAAGGAGGAACGGGACGAATCCATACGGGTGCAAATCAGGGAATTGGAGGGCCAGCAATCGCAGAAACACCAGACTCTTTCGCAACAAAGGGACTCGCTTGCAAATCTACGGCGCCAGGCTGTCGACCTCGAGGCCTCCATCGAATCCACGAAGGCCGACGTGGGCACCAAGCGCGAGGCTCTCCAGGCGCTCCACAAGCGACTGGACGACCAGCAAAAGCAGCGCCTGAAGCTCATGGACCTTCGGAAAAACGCCTGGCGAAAAGCCGAAGCCCTCACGGAAACACTCGCAGAATGCCGGGAAGCCAAGGGAAGCACCTACGCCAACCTCTACCGAAGCATGCCACGAAATACCTCGCAGGGGCTAAGATCGCTCCAGACCATTGTGGAGCGAGAGGGCCTGATCCGCGGAGAGCAGTATTTTGGCATGGTCATGGAAAACATGAAACTCAAGGATCCCAAGTTTCAAACGGCGGTGGAGGTCGCGGCACAGAACGCCCTCTTTCACGTCATTGTCGATACGGACGCGACCGCGGCCCTGTTGATGAAGAGGCTGGAAGAGGGAAAGCTCGGGCGCGTGACGTTCATGCCACTCAACCAGCTTCGCGTACAGGACAACATCCAGTATCCACAATCCGATGATGTTGCCCCGCTCTTGTCGACCTGCATCGCGTACGAGCCGAGAGTGAAACGTGCCATGCAGCAARTATTCGACCGGAGGCTGCTGGCCCGGAGTCCCGAGGTTGCTTCGGAATGGTCGGCAAAACTCAGGATGGACTGCATCACCCTCGACGGTGATCTKTGTTCTCGGAAGGGAGCTCTCTCKGGGGGATATGTCGACGTTCAGAAGTCCCGCCTTAAGGCCTACAGCGCAAAAACGATTGCCGAAGAGGCCTACCGCAAGGCCAGGGAAGAACACCGCAGGGTGGATGCCGAAGCCAAGCAAGCCGAACAGGACGTCACAAACGTCTCGGAAGAAATATCCCGTCTTCAGCACAAACAAGCCCAACTGGCACGAATGATCCAAAACCAGGAGGGCGGACTATCCCAGTCGCAATCCCAGATGGGGCAATATAGTAAGCAGGCGGATAGATTGGAATCCCAGATAATTCCAAGCCTAGAACAGAACCTCGAAGGCTTACAGTTCGACATTGCCCGCTTGGGAGAAGAGGTCGGGACGGAGCTGACCTCGAGTTTGTCGGAGGAGGAACGGRCATCCCTCAATGAGYTAAAAGCTGTCAAGGAAAAGCTTGTGGAAAAGATTGCGGATCAGCGCGATACTGTGGAAGAACTCCGTACCGAACGCACCCGGCTAGAATCCGTCTTGGAAAACAACCTTTACAAGCGTCGGACGGAACTTACACAGGTCAACGACACGCTTGATACCAACGACGGCGGCGCAGCCATGGGAGGCGGCGTCACGACGAACGCGATGCTGCAGGAGCAAACGGAACGCCAGCTCGAGGAACGCCGATTGGCATCGCGGGAAGCGATAAGGGACGCCGACGAGTTGGAAGCCAAGCTGGAGGAAATACGAAAAACAGAAGAGGAACTCAAAAAAGAGCTCATTGCTGCCAAGAATGAGCTCGAACGSCTCAAAACCGCAGACAACAAAAACACGCGGGACCTCGACGATGCGCAACGCCGTGCCGAAACGCTCATGGGGAAGAAATCGCTGAACATTGGACGCCGTGATAGCTACATGAGAAAGATACAGGAACTCGGCTCTCTTCCCCCTGATTCAGAACTCCGAAACTACAAGAATCAAAACATTAGCGACCTCGAGAAATCATTGGAGCGCGTGAGCAGGAAACTCAAAAAGTACTCCCACGTAAACAAGAAGGCGTTCGATCAGTACGTCAATTTTTCGGAAAAACGAGAGTCACTGATGGAACGCAAAGACGAGTTGGATCGAGGTGCMGAAAAAGTGAAAGAACTGGTTGAGAGTTTGGATCGAAAGAAGGACGAAGCTATCAACCGTACCTTCCGAGGGGTGAGCAAGCATTTTGCAGAAGTCTTTAAGGAACTCGTGCCACTGGGAGATGGTGAACTCATCATGCGGACAGCCATCGACGAAGCATTGGAGAGGGACGACRCCGAAGATGATAACGGCAGCGACGATGAAACTTTCCGAAAGAAACAACTCGACAATCCGGACGTCAGCCTTTATCGTGGTGTCGGTATCAAGGTTCGTTTCTCTGCAGTCGGAGAGAACTTTATAATGAGCCAATTGAGTGGAGGSCAGAAGGCTTTGGTGGCAATGGCTCTCATCTTTGCAATTCAACGCTGTGACCCTGCACCCTTTTACATTTTCGACGAACTCGATCAGGCTCTCGATTCCACCTATCGCCAGGCGGTTGCCAATGTGATTTATAACCAGGCCAATAATCCAGACAATCCAACGCAATTCATCACCAGTACCTTCCGCCCAGAGCTTGTTCGCATTGCGAAGAATTGTTACGGCATAAGCCACCAAAATAAGGTGAGCAGCATCCACTCGATGACCAAGAATGATGCCTTGAAGTTCATTGCGAACTTGATGAATGAGGAAGAGGCGGTCGGGAATGTTTCTACCACTCGTTCGTCGTTGTCGAAGAAGGGGAGCAAAAAGCGCAAATCAAACGACATMGAGACCGCTGWCGAAACAAGCCAGATGTCTTATGGACTCCAAACCCAACCTKTGGAAGAATAATGGATGAATAATCCAGAAGAATTGTACTATTTATGCGGTGTTTCAAGTAATTGCTTTCGGGTTGCAATTACCATYATGGGAAAAAGTAATTGTAAATGAACTATGATAAATGAAGAGCTATTATTACGAAGATCTTTTTAAATAYAGAGGTTATCTATTTCACTTCGGTTAAAAAGTTGCTGCACTAGCACAGTCTTTGATACAAAACAATACGTCACCGTCATTGCCGCAGCGACTTCGCTCTTCATATCAGCAATCGCCAATCGTCATCGCTTCTTCATGTTTAAAATCATCCGTCTGTATTAGATAGTCACTCCCACAACTTCTGTACAGAGACAATCTTYTTTYAACTTGTGAATCGACCCAATCTTTCAATCTCTTGTCGCGATCATTCATTTGAACAACAGCAGAGACAGTCTTGTGATCGTTCTCTAARATCTCTTSTGTGTCTGCATTCACCAACCCCAGATCGTGGAGAGACTTTCCATCGTTGGCTTTCGATACCATACCGACAACATTGACAATACCACCCTGCCCCTGGGCATGCACRAGCACTTTTGAAATTCCTCCACGATTAGCCCCATCAAGTCGATTCTTATGAATCAAAAAGTTGTGAAAACCCTGGTCGTTTTTGTTTGCGCAATGCTTACATTTTGTTTTGTCGAATTCATACACCATGGCACGGGCATAAACTTCTACAGCCGCCTGAGACCCAAAGGTTGTTCCCGAASAGACGACCATTTTCTCTGCTAGTTCGTCTTTGAGTTCAGAAGAATACATTTTCTCGATCCATCTCGAATTAGCTTTCGATTCACTTATTTTTATAGCTTCTTGAAAGAAAACCAGTGTTCCGGCCTTACCGGAGCGTTTTGTTTGATGCCGGTAAACTTKAAAAGGATTGCGCTGGAAGAAAACGTCGCGGGCATCAGTAAGGAAGATTAATGACTTTGAGTTGTATCGTTTTGCCCAAGCCCAATAGTATTCGTAACGAACGACTGAGACCCGACGATATGGTCGAGTGTCAGACAACGGAACCCAGCCATCGCTTCCATTTGAATCTTCCTGTTCAATTATATTTGCTGATTTACACGAGTTTTTCCTTTGACAGGGTAAAGATATTTCGTACACCACAAGACCAGGTCGATTTTGTGCACTYTCCTCTAAAAAAGTACGGGTTTCTTCGGTCAGGTTAGTGCCGACACCGATCACCAAGTCTCCRTTGTAAYCGGTTTCCCAAAGACTCATCACAAAGTTAATTAACTGTGGCAATTGATAACCATGCGCGAATGTCATCACTGCATCTTTATTGCTGCGATGCTGCCCATACCGAGGTACGGGGGCAACGCAGTACTTTGCGGATGATGTAGATGCTTCCTCTCTCAATTCAGTTGGCAACGGAGGTGGGTAAAATATAGGATACTTTTTCGAAGACATATCTTYGGCGTCAAAGTTATCTTTCTGCTCGCATGATCGTAGCTTTCTGTCGATCTTCTGAGCAGTGCTGTCACTGATTTTTTCCTGTACTCGATCCTTCTGCAACTGCTGTCACTGATTTTTTCCTGTACTCGATCCTTCTGCAACT